ACAAAATCGTCACAATCTTATAAAAATGGAAATAAATTATTTATCCAAATTAAATAACTAGATCAACAACATACTTAAATCGATCAAATGAAATATTAAATTTATGATAATTCGTTGAAACTTTCTTGTTAATACAGTTTAATTAGTGCAGTTTATTCTATCTATACAGCCCTAAACATCCATCCTTGGATATAGGCCTCCTCCTCTTTCTTCTATGCCTCTCTATCTTGGGCAACTTGCATCCATTTTAACCCGGCGTCTTTCTTCAGGTCATCTGACCATCGCATTTGTGGCCTTACCCTTTTTCGTTTGTGATTCCATGGTCTCCAATGTGTAATACTCTTAGTCCATCTTTTATCTTTCTGCCTTAGGGTGTGTCCGGCGAATTTCCATTTAAGCTTTGCTACTTGGGTTGAGACATCTGTCACTTTTGTTTTATTACGGAACCATTCGTTTCTTTTTCTGTCTGATAGTTTAATGTTCAGCATTTGTCTTTCCATGGTTCTTTCTGTCTTTGCTATTTTGTCCATATTTTTCTTTGTAAACGTCCATGTCTGAGAGCCATATGTGAGGACAGGGAGTATACATTGATTGAAGACCCTTGTTTTTAGGTATTGGGGGTATTTTGAATTCTTTAGAATATAAGACAGTTTTCCGAATGATGCCCAGGCCAATCTTATTCTTCTCTTTATTTCTTCGGTCTGACTTTCTTTATTAAATTTAGTGATTTGGGCTAGATATATATATATATATATATATATATATATATATATATATATATTATATACATATATACATATATATATATATATATATATATATATATATATATATTATATATATATATATATATATATACTATTTTTCTTGTTCTATTCTTGTTTGTGCCACTGTAATTATTAGTACTTCTGGTTGATTAGTCATGGTTTTTGTTTTACTGTAATTCATCTTGAGTCCAATTTTTGTCCATTCTCTATCTAGTTCTTTCATCATTCTTTGTAATTCTTTACTTTTTTCTGTTAATAATACAATATCATCAGCATATCGTAAATGATTTAGATTTTGCCCGATTATGTTAATTCCCAAGTCATTTCAGTGTAGTCGTTTGAAAACATCTTCTAGCGCTTGGTTGAATGGCTTGGGCGAGATGGTATCTCCTTGACTTACTCCTCGGTTTATTTTAATAGGCTCCGTTTGTTTCATTAGCTTAATAGTTGTTGTTGCCTTGTTTTATATACTTGTAATTAAGTCGGTATATCGGTAGTCTATTCTGCCGTTTTGTAGGGAATTCTATACTGCCCAGTATTCCGCACTATCAAATGCCTTCTCGAAGTCAATAAATGCCATGTATAGCGGGATATGATATTCGTTAGTTTTTTTGATTAAAATCTTCATCGTTAAAAGGTGGTCACTTGTACTGAAGCTCTTTCTAAATCAGGCTTGTTCTCTTGCCTGGTGTCCATCTAATTTAGTTGTTAATCTATTTGTTAATATTTTGGTTTATAGTTTGTACATCACATTTAGCAGTTATGAGTCTGTAATTCTTTAGATCCTTTTTATCTCCTTTCTTAAATAGTAACAGTGTTATTGCTTCGTTCCGACCGTTGGGTATTTGGTTTGTCATTAGTATCTTATTCATAAGTATGTTCAAAACTTCTCTAGTTATTTTCCCGCCACGTTTTTGCATTTCTACAGTCACCCCGTTTTTTGCTTTCGATTTATTATTCTTCATCTCTTTGAGTGCTCTTCTTATCTCGTTCTTATTGATTTCTGGTTGTAAGTCGGAATTAACATTTTTTATTTTTATTTGTAGTTGCTTAACAAATTCTTGGGTTGGTCTCTTTTTTCAATTTTTTCTAATTTCAATTCCAATGCAGTAAGCAACTTCAATTTTCCTTCAAAAGAACAAGCCATTATTCTGTCAGCTATCCAAGGTATTAAAATACATGAATACATAATAGTCATAGGGTCTCTACTCACACCAAAAAATTTAGCAGTTAGCATTTACTTAAACAATACTAGCATAGTAGATACCTTACTAAACAACCATAAAACTGTAGTCATCCAAGGCAATGAGATAGAAATTCGAAGACATATTACGCCAGCAAGGTGACTAGTAGTATCAAACATCTGCCCCAGCATCCCAAACAATATTCTAGAAGATGAACTGAAACAACTAGAACTAACCGCAGTATCCAAATTAACGTTTTTAAAAGTTGGCATGCCCGAGTCTGAGTATACTCATCTTACGTCTTTAGCTTCAGGCGGAAAATATTTGTCTCTTTGATAAATACCAAACCAATTCCAAATACAATCTTAATAACCTATGATAACACTCCTTACAGAATCTTCCTATCCCTAGATGGTTTTAATTGCTCTAGATGTAATACTACTGGTCACAAAGATGAGAACTGCACATTAACATCAACTGGTACAGAAACACTTAAACATCCATCTAAAGTGATACAAACATATACCTCAGAACTCGATGCCATGGAAGTAAATCAGAATAATTCAACAACAAATATTTCAAATGATACAACCAACTATTCCAATCATATTTCTGCAGATATCCCAACGACAACTGATTCGCTTATAGTACACAATATACCTTTAACAACAGCTAACAGCAATAATACTAAAACAATCAATCAAGCAAAAAGGCAAATTTGAACCTCTCCTGAAATCCCAAAAACTAAAAATCTAAACGAAACTTACAATTTCAAAAAAATCTGCACCCAAAAAAAGAACATGGCTTTAGATGCCGAAAGTCACATTAAAACCATTTAAAAATATTTTAATGACAGCATCTTCTTCATATACGCTAAATTTCTCTGAATTATGCGATTTTCGTTATAAACGCAATGGGCAATAAAGGTAACTCAAAATTAAATGATAGACACATGAAAAATAATATCACAAGTATTATAAACCACATCCAACATATGAATCTTCCCTCACTGAAGAAAGCGACTACGATTTATCTCAATAGTCCAATTAAATTCATTCTTCAATGGCACTTGAATGGCTATTATAGCGACATTGAAAACATTAAAATGCTAATCAATGAACTCTGACCACTAATAATATGTCTACAAGAAACTCGCCTTTCCAACAATCAAGCAAAACTAAAAAATTATATGCCCTATACAAAAAATCGAGCAGTACAGCAAATATCCAGTGCTGGTGTCGGAATTTTTATACATTCAACCATCCAATCCAAAGCAATTCCTTTAAAGACAAATCTGGAAACAGTAGCAGTTTCGGTAATACATAATTTTAAAATCAATATATTCAACGTCTATTTATCACATCCTGACGAAACTACTCCATTAGAACTTTAAAATTTAATTAAACAAATTCCATATCCAAAATTAATTTTGGGTGACACAAACTGTCACAACATCGCATGGGGATTCCAAAAAAGAGATAAAAATGGAAGAATATTATTAGAAACAATTAATAACGTAAAACTAGTTTTGTTAAACACAGAAACGCCTACTAAATTCAATGTACATAATGGCATATTTTCCACCATAGACTTATCTATCAGTGATTCAACTTTAGCTTCATTTTTACAGTGGAATACATTGGACCACCTATACGACAGTGATCATTTTTCAATAATAATAACTCATGACAAAGATGAAAAAAACCTGTACAACACCATATGAAACGTGGAAATTAGAGTCAGCTGATTGGGAAAAATACATGAACTTAGTAAGCGTACGTATAACAAATCATGTTATATCACATAATATAGACACTACTCTATCATCTTACAACGGTATAATTTTGGACTCAGCCAGAGATTCTATAAGAAAGACCAAAAATATCACAAAAACTCTTCTTCCTTGGTGGAATACTAAAATCGTATCCGCTTTAAAGCAAACAAAATATGCTTTTAATATATACAAGAAGTATAACACACCTAATAACTTGAACAATTTTGGATCTTCAAGGGCCAGATCTAGATTTTTAATAAAGAAAGCAAAAAAAGAGAGCTGGATCAATTACGTGTCGTCAATTGACTCGTCTATGAACATAAGGAATATATGGCAAAAAATAAGGAAAATAAAAGGTTCAAAAACATTTAACCATATTGACACAATAACTACAAATAATCTAACAACTTCAGACAAACATGAAATCTCAGAAATTTTAGTAGAACATTATCAATTGTATTCAAGCAATCAGCAGTACTACCTAAATTTCTTAGAACATAAAGAAATAACAGAAGCATTAAAAATGAACATAGAAGATTCTGCTGGTCCACTAAACACTTCCATAACACTTGATGAATTAAATGAAAGTCTTAATAACCTCAAAAATACCTCACCTGAACCTGATGACATACCACCAATTTTCATCGAAAAACTACCTATAAACGCGAAGGTTCCTTAAGTAGAGATGTTTAACAATCACGCCATCAGTCGTTTCTCCCAAAGCTTCTCGAAATAGACGTTCAGAGTAAGCATTAAACAGCAAAGGCGAGAATATGCAACCTTGTCGTACTACTCTTTGTATTGGGACTTCATCGGATAATTGATTGTCTACTCAAATCTTGGCTACTTGTTTTCTATAGAGATTGGCTATTATTCTTATATTTTTGTCATCGATGTTTGCGATTCGCAAAGTTTTAATAAGCCTCTCATACTGTACTTTGTCTATACTAAAAAGTGCTTCTCTTGTGCCAAGACGTCTGTTTATTACCTCCCTCCAAATTTAATTAGTATAACAATAACCGTTCAAAAGGTACAAGGGGAAGAATGGACTTTTGATTAGCAGTGTATAAGAACTCTTAAGCATCCGTAGATAAACACAACAGGTTAATTATTGACAACATTTGGAGTGTATTCTATAGTATATTTTCGGTTTAAGTTTTTAGGAAACTGTAGACAAAAGTAACAATTTTAACTAGCATGTACAACCTAGTCTACAAAAAAGTACACACTAAACAGTTTTTACTAACTTTCTTATAATATTTTCTATCTTTTTAGGCAACCATGTTTGGAAATATTTGTCTTACTCTCCTGATCTTTGTTGAAGTGGCGGTATGTGTTCAAAAACTCCAAGAACATTTTCAATGGAACATTTTGGATTATGAGTTTCCCACAGAAGCTATTCGAAGGAATGCTTTACTGACAGGAAGATTTAAGCCTGAAAATAATTTGCCAGTTGGTATAGAAATATGGCAAGATAAGTTATTTGTTTCTGTGCCTAGATGGAAAGAAGGTAAAACCCATAATTATAATTTTTTTATTGTTCTATTGAACTTTAGTTACCAAAAATTTGTGTGTAAATGAATGTATTTAGGAGAGTGTTCTTCTTGGACAATTTTATGCACTTGAACCTGTCTTACATCTTACATCACAGTTTACAATTTTGTTCTTTTAAGAATGATAAATTAAACATAGGTGTAAAGTTAATGTTAAAACCAGATCGTCTTAGTATATACCCACAGTTTGCTATATTAAGAGTAGTAGGTTAAATAGTCGATATCTTTTCTAATGGAATTAATTTAAAAACATTCGTTTATTGTTGTTGGAAAAATATTTCTACTAGAAAACACAACCATACCTTTTCATTTTCTGTTTAAAAGCGTATCTCATTAACAGTAAACGATTATAATTTTACTCTATTTAAGCCGAGAGGCCAAGTCCAAGCTGGTACTACTTTTGGAATCTGGGAACGCAAGGTTATTAATCAGATTATTCTTCTTTGGGTGCCGTATCCGTATTTTGATGTTGGCCGTCATCATGTTTACAATTTCCTGAAACCTTTCTCTATCGGCTGCTGCGCGAAATAATTCTTCTACTGTGGAACCACACCTTTGTCTAATATTACGCAGCCATGAAAGTTTCTTTCGACCAATTCATCTCTTTTCTTCCACTTTTCCTTGTATTATAAGGCAAAGTAGATGATATTTAGGTCCTTTAATTATATGGCCGAAGTATTCTGTTTTTCTTCTCTTTATGGTATTTATGAGCAAACGTTCTGAATTGATCATTTGAAGAATATCTTCATTGAAAGTGTGCAAAACCCACGATATCTTTAGGATTCGCGTATAGCACCATAATTCGAATGCTTCTAACTTATTTAGCATTGTGGTTTTTACAGTTCATGTCTCATAACCATACAATAGAATCTTCTTCTTCTTACGGTGCCTATCCGTTCCGGATGTTAGCGATCAACATGGCTATCCTAACTTTGCTTGCTGCTATTCTGAATAGTCCGGTTGTCAATGTATTAAACCACTTTCTCAGGCTTTGAAGCCAAGATATTCTTCTTCTCCCTGGACCTCTCTTTCCAAATACCTTGCCCTGAAGAATGAGTTGCAACAAGCCGTATTTCTGTTCATTCCTCATAATATGGCCAAGATATTTTAGTTTGCGCTCTTTGATGGTGTTAATAATCTCGTATTCCTTGCCTATTCTACGTAGGACCTCAACATTAGTCACACGATCCACCCATGAAATTCTTAAAATACGTCTGTAACACCACATCTCGAATGCCTCGAGTTTTCTTAAGGAAGCTTCGGAAAGTGTCCAGACCTCTACTCCGTATAATAAGGTAGAAAATACATAGCATCTAATGAGAGAGATTTTGGTAGCAAGTGGTAAATCATGACTTCTGAAAAGAGACTTTATCATTATGAACGCTAATTTCGCTTTTCCTATGCGTTGTTTTATTTCACTGGAGTGATCCCATTAGCTGTTAATGTTGGTACCAAGATATGTGTAGCTGTCCACTCTGTCAATTGGATGTTGTTATACAATAGAATGGACCACACATAACATTTCAGGACCTTCTTACGAATATTCATCGAAAGGTTTCTGTTGCATAAAATTGGTTTCCAGGTCATAAAAGCCTTATGTGATATTTCGATCCTGGTTATTATCTCTTCATCAGAGTCACAATTTACATTTAACCAGCTGCCAAGGTATTTGAAATGATTTAACGTTTCGATCTCCTCTCCATTACGAGAAATCAGACCTTGATCTATAGTCATCTTTCCAACTGCCATCCACTTTGTCTTTGAAATGTTGATTTTAAGGCCTCTCCGATAACTTGCTTCACTGACTAGGTTTAGTAATGTTTGGAAATCTTGTAAATTTTGTGAAAGAATGGCTGTATCGTCAGCGTAACTAATAGTGTTGATTAGTTCTCCACCTAGTCTTACTCCCTCTTGTCTGTCATCCAAAGCCTACCTAAAGATTTCTTCAGAGTACAGATTAAAAAGAGTGGGTGACAAAACACAACCCAGCCGTACTCCACGTTTGGTACATATTTTTTCAGTCGGACTGTCTCCAATTTGGATAGAGGCTACTTGATTGTAATATTTCAGCAGTCTTATATCATAGTGGTCAAGTCCTGCTGCCTGTAGGCAATCGAAAAGTGTATCGTGTTGTACTCTGTCGAACGCCTTCTCTAAGTCGATAAAACAAACCTTAACATTTTTTCGGAATTCACAACTTTTTTGTAATAGAACGCGCATACAGAATAGTGTCTCTCTAGTTCCTAGACCGTTTCTAAATCCAAATTGCTTATTACCCATCCTACTTTCGCATAGAAGCAATACTCGGTTTTGTATAATTCGTAAGAGTATTTTCAGTGTGTGACTTATCAAATTGATTAGTCTAAAATCTCTGCATTTGGTGGTTTTGCTTTTCTTTGGTAGGGTTATAAACAGTGACTCTAACCAATCATCTGGTAATTTTCCTTCGTTGTAAATTTTGTTGAAGAAAGTGAATTAGTGAATTAATCAGATTAGTAATAAGATTTTATTAATATAACACTCATATGAATATTTATCATCTTCCACATTACCGATTTTCCTTCCTCTGTTAGTAGGTTTTCATGTTAATTGAATGTTCCACTTTCTTTCCTTTCTTGTGACTACTGGCTAGTGGGACGAGGGATAAGGTCCGTCGTAAAGGTAACCCTATCTTTAACTTGTTCTGAAGGGTCACCAGTTGGAATTTTTAATTGTTGCAAAAAATCTTTTTAAACTTGCCCATCTGAATAAGATGATTCATACGTTCTTTGAGGATGCATAAGTTCTAGGTAACCATAAAACATCATTTCTCATGTTTTCATGCTGGTACCAATGTATTCCAAGTTTTCATATAATTTGGGATTTTCTGCAAAATTGTGTATTTTCTTTAATTGGTACTAACATTTTTCTCAAAATTTTCCTACTTTTTATTTCAAGTTTCCGTACTCTTTCTTTACCATATTTAAACATTCAAAAACATTCAGGGCTGACGGTCTGATCACTATATTGTGTCATAGTTTAAAAATAATGTTCTGATTTTATACAGTTCGTTACACAAATGGAATACGCCTTCTAATTTTGAAGACCTACTACTTTAAATCATTTTTTTAATTATCCCGGTTTTTTATAGCGGTCTCCGCCTTCCGGTTCCCAGTTTCCAGCTACGTCGGTCATTCCATTCGCCAGGGTGAAGGTTTCTTTCTGACATTGCCTTCTGAATGCCGCCCAGCCAGAATTGGTTTGGCCATCCTCTCTTCCTTCTTTCCCTTGGCGTCCATTTTAAAATTTGGTTTGGCAGCCTGTCGTCGTCCATTCTTTTCACATGACCATATCAGATCAGTTGTCTCCTTTGAATTTCGTCAATGATGGTTGACTTGACTCCCATTATATTTCTGATGTGGTCATTTTGTATTCTATCAAGCCTTGATTTTCTAGCTTTTCCAGAGCTAGATCTTTTCCAGAATTCCATTTCCAATGCAAGTAGGCGTCGCTCTAGGGATTTAATAAGTTGCCATGTTTCGCATCCATAGAGCACTATACTTTTAAAGATGGAGTTAAAGTGGAGATGCTTTCTTTGATTTGATAGTTCTTTTGACCATAGCATCGGGTTTAGGCATCCTATCACCCTTTTTCCTTTCACGATTCTTTGCTCTATCTCTTTTTCGGTGCGTCCACTCTTGTTGTTTGTTGTTCCCAAATATATATATTCCTCACAGTTCTTGATTGTTTCATGTTCGTTGACCATTAGATTTTCTACTTCATTCCCGATGCATAAGTATTGCGTTCTGTTTTTATTTACAGAAAGGCTCCATTCTTCATATGTTTTAAACAACCGTCTCGTCATAAATTCTAAATCTTCCTTGTCTGCCGCCACTACTACTTGGTCGTCCGCAAAATGTAGAGTGTATAACGTCCTCAAGTTGGATCCCCATTCCTGAACAGCATCTTCTCCAGTGTTTTAGTGCTTCATTTAAATAGATCTTAAATAAGTAGTATTGGAGAGAGGCAGCATTCTTGTCGTAAGACTTTTGTTACTGGAAATTCTTCTGATAAGGTGTTGTTTAGTTTGATTTTTGATGATGCTTTATTGTATAATTGTTGGACTGCGGCGATGATCGTGCTATTAAATAAAGATCGTTCAAGAGACTGCCACAGCTTTCTCACAGGAATCGTGCCATATGCTTTTGTGAGATCCACAAATAAAAGATGTATTTCCTTGTTTCTTGCAACTTTCTTTTCATTCAGTTGTGTTAGGGTAAATATGTGGTCTACGCAAGATCTTCCAGCTCTAAATCCTGCTTGCTGTTCCATTTCATGAGGTTCGTATTCTTTCTTAATCATGTTTTTTAAGATTTTACCAAACAGCCTGCTAAAGGTACTGGTGACAGAGATACATCTGTAGTTTCCGCAAATATCTTTTGGATCTTTCTTGTGAATTGGAGTAATCCATGCTTCTTTCCAACTATTCGGGATTTCTTACCCATTTAAGTATCTTGTGAATAGCACTTTAAGATAGCTTATTAGTTTTGGTGTTCCGTTTTTTTAAAGTTCTGCTGGTATGTTCTCTGGCCTCTGTTCCTCTGGTGTTCTTAACGTGAAAAATCAATATTTTCTGTCTTTTAAGAAGCAACACTAAAATGGCTTCAATACGGACGCGATAGCGACATCTAATAATAAAATCCGTGAAATAATTTCGAAACATAATGTTGCTTCTTAAAAGATAGAAAATATTGATTTGTTACGTTGAGAACACCTATGAATAACTGTTCTGATGAGACCTATTAGGTCAAAATACGTATCAACAGGTACATAGGAGTTGTTTGTGTGAAATCAAATATTTGCTGTCTTTTTCATTTTATTCGGATATGCTCTGTGTGAGTACGAGAAACACAATTTGCTAAGGATTCTCCATATCCTTTTTAATATCTTTTATCAACGTCTATTTGCCTTGCAATTTTTAGAAGGCTCAGGTTAAAACAGAAATCTAAATTGTGTTTTGAAACTATTTTACGGATTTTATTATTAGATGTCGCTATCGCGTCCGTATTGAAGCCATTTTAGTGTTGCTTCTTAAAAGACAGAAAATAATAAGTTTTCACGTTGAGAACACCTATGAATAACTGTTCTGATGAGACCTATTAGGTCGCAATACGTATCAACAGATACATAGGAGTTGTTTGCGTGAAATTAAATTCACGCGTTGTTCTCCGAGTGCAGAGGTTGTCTCTCACCCGGCTCTGGAACCCAATTGAGCCATGTGTTACCTTTGGTCAAATTTAATTTAATATAGAACATCACAGTTATTTTATAACACAATGTACAACATTTCATAACTAAATGTAATTTAAAGGGTTTTTACCCTAATATTTTGGTGGCTCAGGCATTATGACCTAGCATTTTCGATTTTAATAACCTGATGATGGACTGTGTAGTCCGAAAAGGTTTGTTTTATTGATGTGGCCCTTTTAAGGGTTTTTTAAATAAATATACCCATTTACAAAGATTAACCTCTTTTTGTTATACGTGGTATACAGCCAGCTACAGGAATTTTTCCTTGTGGATTTTGAAATTAAATGTTTGCTGTCTTTTTCATTTTATTCGGATATGCTCTGTTTGAGTACGAGAAACACAATTCGCTAAGGATTTCTGCTTAGTTGTAAAAGACATGTCGTGGAATGCAAATTTTAGATTCCCCATGTCCCTTTTAACATCTTCTATCAACGTCTGTTTGTCTTGCAATTTTTAGAAGGCTCAGATTATAAGCAGAAATCTGAATTGTGTTTCGAAACTATTTTACGGATTTTAAAATAACTTAGTTTCTGACAAAACTAAGGAGTTTACTGTCAGACCCTTTCTGTTATGTCAAATTTATATGTTATATCTTGACGGTATGGTTGTTTTGTACAGGGAAATAGTCAAGGAACAATCTGATCACCTTGTCTGATTCCTGCACGGATTTTAAATGGATCTGATACTTAACCTGTAAATTTCACCTTTAATTTAATACTTTTAAAAGAAGCTTCGATTAGGTTTAGAGTTTTTCTATCTACACCGAAGTCAAAAATAAACATGAATGAAACCAACACATTAACAATCACAAATATTGCTAAACTAGATCGGAAACAACAGGCCTTAAGGACTAGCATATAACGAAGAAGAGGAGATTTAATAATTCTTGTAGTAATAAAATTCTTGTCTGGGTTTTGTATATTTTTCCCTTTTTTTTTGCCACAATTATCTTTATAATATCAGTCTGGTTTAAAAAGCTGTACATTGTTTCTTTGAGCAGTATAATGAAAGTCCAAAGGACTTAATTCTTCATTGTTTCGGTTACAGAAACGAAACAATAACCTGTAAAACTCTTTACTCTTTAAATTTTTTGACCAAGAAACGACTTAACAGAAAGTGTTAACTTCCTACTTTAACCCATACACTTAAATCAGCACATCTTTTTATGAGTGCGTCATAAGGAATATATCATAAATGTATAGAATATTATGTAATATTTTAAAATAATTTATTTTTGAGTCAAAAATACCAAATGTTTTTTAATTTTAGGTATTCCAGCAACTCTAAACTACGTTCCATTGAATAGTCCAGTCAAAAACCCCCGATTAATTCCATATCCAGATTTTCCCTCCAATGAACTTGGTAACTGCGAAAAAGGCTTAAGTACCGTATATAGGATCAAAGCAGATGAATGTGACCGCCTATGGGTTCTCGACACTGGTACCTTTGGCATAGGAAACACCACTCAAAACCCATGTCCGTATGCAATAAATATTTTTGATTTAAAGACAAACAGAAGAATAAGAAGGTACGAGTTCCGCCCCGAAGATATTAACAGTAATACTTTCATTGCCAATATAGCGGTGGAATTAGGTGCCACATGTGATGATGCACATGCCTATTTCAGTGATGAACTCGGTTATGGCCTTATTGTTTATTCTTTGAAAGATAACAAGTCTTGGAGATTTAGCCACAGTTATTTCTTACCTGATCCCTTAAGAGGTGACTTCACTATTAACAACCTAAACTTCCAGTGGGGCGAAGAAGGTGTCTTTGGTTTAAGTTTAACACCAGTGCAACCTGATGGTTACAGACTTTTGTACTTTAGTCCTCTAGCATCTCACAGGGAGTTTGTTGTTTCCACCAAAACTTTACAAAACAGTTCCAAGGTTGACGATAGCTGGAAAGAATTTTATCCTTTAAATGAAAGAGGTCCTGATTCTCATACAACATCCAGAGTTATGGATGAAAACGGCATCAGTTTTTCAATTTAATCGATCAAAATGCTGTTGGTTGTTGGAACTCTGAGACTCCTTATATATCAAGAAACCATGATGTGGTCGACAAAGATGATAAAGGTTTAATTTTTCCTGCTGATGTTAAGGTTGACAGAAACAGAAATTTGTGGGTAATATCTGACAGAATGTCTGATTTTCTGTTAGCTTCTTTAGACTTCAATGACATAAACTTTAGAGTATATTTTGCACCTATTGACGTATTAGTTAAAAATACTGTGTGTGAAAGTAAAAGATATGATGCAATTTTTGGATATGACAATCAACATTTCTCAAAATTCCCATCCCACAAGTATTATAATATATATGGAGGCAACCTCTTGTTATAAGTATTAAACTATTTAATATATTTTTATTTTCATAGTTCAATTTGTTTTATTTGCTCCTCTTTTAATTATTTTATAAATTTTCAACTGTAAGTGCGCGATGCACAATGAAAGATAAAACTGTCTGTACCAATGTACTTAAGATTTATTTGGAAAATAGATAGATAGATGGTTAATTGGTAATAAATGAGTACAAAAGTATTTTTTACAAGTACAAAGAAAAAAATATATATGTTAATATAGTTAATATACACATAAATATAAATATAAAACACAAAACATACAGGGTGTTTCAGAAAAGGTAACATCGTCTCTAAGGAGGCTTAGTAAAAATTTTTGTAACGCCATCCGTTTTCAAGATACAGGGCGTTGAAAAAAAAATTACGCATTTTTTACGATTTTGTCGAAACTAATGGCAACATTGTAATGAACTTTTATACGAATATGTTTTGGAAGCTGATACATCCCATGAATTTGTTTATATATCTGATTCTTATAGAGGTCGCTAGTTACACGGATCGTACTAAGTATTAGTCAATATAATTTTTTAAGATTATAATTATTAATCAAAATTTCAAGTAAACTTAAACATTATTCAATTTTACACGAAAAAGGTACTCCTGGTAAAAGTTATAATTCATGCTGGTATAAAATAGTTAGTAATTAAACAAAACTCACAAAAAAACATTAAATTAATGATTAGGAACATAAAATAAAATTCAATTACAGTAAGTGTTCAAAATGCTCTCCGTTTTCGCGAATACACAAGTCTATTCTTTTTTCTAAAGATTCCATTAACCTTCTAAACGGTAGGGGATCAGCTATGATGTCATTGAATTGACGTTGAATTCTTTCTTCCAATTCTTGGTGTGGATTTACCTCTGTAGCATAGACTTTTTCCTTAATATACGACCAAACTGCGTAGTCCAAAAGGGTTAAAATCGCATGACCGAGGAGGCCAATGAATCAGAGCTTCTGCACCTCTACCAATCCATCGATTCGGAAAATGATTACTCAACCAATTACGACACCTTCTATCAAAGTGTGTTGGAGCTCCATCGTGCATCAAAAATAAAGATCTTTGATCAAGGATCAAACTAAATAAAAATAAAACAAAAACTACTCAATTTGATCAAGGTACAAAAAATTGGATACCTCGGCTATATTCTGAGAAGTAAAAATACGTAATCCCTCAGCTAATCATCCAGGGAAAGATTAAAGGCAGGAGAGAAGTAGGTGGCAAACAAATGTAGCTACGGAACATAAAGAACTGGACAGGCATAAATAACACTGGTGATCTTTTACATGCCGCAAAAGACAGACGTCTGGCCTTAAGATAATTCGCCAACGTACTATAGGTGCACGGCACTATAAGAAAAAGAAGTTAAGCTATTATTAAAAGTATTTTTTAATTATTTTGATTTATTATTAAGATGAAGGCATAACTGGAACTAACTATCTCATTTCATCTATCCATCCATCCAACCTCTCAATATACACACCCATCTCACCACTTTCCAAATTCTAGGCCAATCAGAAATTTGTATACCACTCCCCACAAAAAAAACAGAAATACCTACAAACTCTCCTAATTCATATTATTTCTACAAGGACACTTAATTGCTACTGGGTATTTACAGATTCCGAAAAACAATTTACTTATTAGCTATTTTTATTGTCCTGTTCATGGCGCAAACCCGGATTACGGAACACTTTATGGCTTATTGGAAAAAACCATCCTTAACTTCTATTCATTGTACCCGCACCATCATCCACTTGTTATATTTATACAAAAGATTATTTATGACTAAGATTACCTTTGGTCAATTCCAGGCATGGTAGTAAAATATATTTAAAACAGTACTGTTTTGAATATATCATGTTCAACATTTTTAAATATTTTAACCCTTAATCTTTGTCTCCTGAAGAAACTGACAAAAAATCAGCGAAATATAGAGTAATAAAAGAAAAAAGAGTTTTACGTCAAGAATGCAAGCCACTTAATCGACCGTATCAAGGACGTTGTTCTGGAACCTGAACACTTATTAGTGAGCTTTGATGTAGTCTCATTATTCACCAATGTGCCAGGAGAAGAATCATTAGAAATTATACGTAAAAAATATCCAAACCCACAGGATACATTAAACCTGACGAGGCACTGCTTAAACAACATCTATTTCATCTACAAGGACCAGATATACAAACAAGTTGAAGGGGCACCGATGGGTTCACCACTATTACCCGTAATAGCCTACCTTTTCATGGAAGATATGGAATCAAAAGCAATAGAAACAGCAGAGCATAAACCCAAACTGTGGCTTAGGTATGTTGATGACACATTTATTATCTGGACGCATGGAGAAGAGAAGCTCAACCAATTCCTACAACACATTAATAATATCCACCCAAAAATACAGTTTACCATGGAACGGGAGAATAACCAACAACTTCCATTCCTAGATGTGTTAGTTATTAAGAAAGAAGACGGAAGCATAGGGCACACAGTATACCGAAAACCAACCCATACTGACAGGTACTTACACGCAGACTCACACCATCACCCTGCACAATTAAATTCGGTAATAAAAACCCTAATAACAAGATCTGAGAAACTGGCAGATAAGGAACATAAGAACGAAGAAATGCAAAAAGTCAAAACAGCTTTAAGAAAAAATGGCTTCTCCATGTATACGATTGAAAAGGCACAAAAATCCCGAAACAAAATCAAAGATCCAGAAGAAGAGGAAAAACCAGTCGGAAAAACTATCCTACCCTATATAAAGGGTACGACAGACAAAATCAGCAGAGTGCTACGTAAAAACAACATAGAAACTATTTTTAACACCGACAAAAAAATCGCAACCATATTACCATCGGCAAAAACAAAAGTTGCATTGGAAAATCAAGGTGTATACAGAATCCCGTGTGAGGACTGCGATAAATCGTACATCGGAGAGACAAATCGAAGGATACAAGTTAGACGCGAAGAACATCGAAACGCCATCGAAAGAAAACAGAAAACTTCATCTCTAGCGCAACATGCCATCAACACAGGACACAAAATCGACTTAAATGGAACAACAATGCTAGCCTATATCGAAAATAAGGCCAAACGTGTAATCAGGGAAGCCATAGAGATCGAAAAACATCCAAAAAATTTAAATACCAGAGACGATGCCCAAAGACTCCCAAATATGGCGTATTTTTCGTAATGCGTATATTCATATACGCATTACGCCAAACATAAATATTTTTATGTTTGGCGAATTAAGACCTAATTTGGAATACAATGTCACTTTCCATCGTTCCATCCTTTGGCTTAAACAAAATTTAAATTTAAAACTACGTATACCGAAATTGTTCACGCTGCGTCCTCTCTGAAGGAAACATATTACTCTCGAGTTTATTGGTACAGTTCACTATGGCGTAGCTACTCAGAAAGAATGACTAACTCTCACAGAGCTCTATTAATAACCGAGAGTTTGAACTCCCATGAACGTTGATTGAAATATTGCATATGTCTATGGGTCTATCTATACTTTAGCTTAAATATTTTTGTTTCGTATCTTTTATGACAAAATAATGAGTAATTGTACTTCCTCGCACTAATGCCGCATCCTGTATGTTAACAAACTGTGTCTTATCTAATTTTGATTTAAAACTACACTCGCATAAATAAAAAATAATTATTTGTCGGCCGGGAAATTATCTTACTTTAATCTTTAAAATATCATTCTCATAAAATCCCAAGTAATCACAAAAAACAATGGAAATTTTAAACATTGTTTATATTGTTTGCCCCCCTATTTGTTTCATCTAGCGGACAACACTTCCACTAAACTTCTGCACACTCGACTTTACTTGGCCAATTTCTATATCTTATAACTATATCTATAGTAATTTTCTTTATAAAAGATCGTGAAACCGTCAAAGGATTCTTTCTGGTAAATTTAGCTTAGTGTTATCCTCCACCGTTAGATGGTGCCTGCTAGAAATCAATTGTATACAGCTGATAAAGAATTTTATAAAAAAAAAACAAAACTAATGAGAGCTACATGTATTATACTTAAAAGCAAGCTTACAGTTTAAATATGTTAAAAACTTTCAGCATTTACCTGGTTATACGACTTTCCAACTTTAAATTAATATGAAAAATGTTTAAAATAATTTCAAGAATGCAGTAAAAATATTTTAGAGGCATTTAAATATTCCAAACTTAACGACTTCATAAAAAACTGAATAAAAGAGGGAAATTCAATTGTAATCGTCCAAAATACCAAGATAAATATCTAAAGTATTTTTTGTGTTGGAAAACCTTAAAGATAATGGCCGAATGGTTTATGCACATTCAAATTTTTTCAATTAAATTTTTTTTAAATAGAATATCTCTGTTAATATTAATGTGGGTAAATATTTAATATTATTGTATTTAAATAAATATATAGTAAGAAATGGGCAATTTTTATTTATATTAAAAAAAAATACACGTTACAAAAATTGGTTTCTTCTATACAGGGTGTCCCATAATTAGTTGGACATTAGCTAATGGGTGATAGCTGACATCAAAATTGAGCTCAAATTCCTTCGCAAAATGTTGCTAGTTTTAGTTCTAAAGGGTGATTCATTAATATTTTTTTATAATATTTTTAGGGATATATTGAAAACTATTCAACCGCTTTAAGTGAAATATGGTATCTTGCTATTATTTAGTATGCTTAATATGAAAATAATATTAGTGTTACCATTGACACTAGGTAGCGCCACCTACTATAATATTAGACATTAAATAATATTAAATTCTACACAAAAAGGTATTCCTGGTTTAAATAAAAAAATTACACCGTTTTCGAAATAAACGTATTTTGTTAATGTCTGTATTTAATTTTTTCGCAAAACAAGCAGGTATCTAGGTATACTGTGAACTTAATGACAAAGTCAAGGCGTAAGTAAGAATTTGTTTACTATTTGTTGTTAAATTGCAGTGTGAGTCTATTATTATAAGAAAAAAAGAATATGTTTGTACTTTGTACGCAGGTAA